AGATGTGTATAAGAGATTACATATAGATAGATTAATTACTACTGTACAGAAGAGTTTATCCTCTGATATATTGTGTTTGATACTTGTACTGTTTGATACTTGTGCTTTTACTTGTAGCCAATTGAAAGGAAACCAAAGGTATTCAGAGAGCTACGTGTGCCACGAGGTCTGCAAAAGGCACTTCCTTTCAAAGACAAGCCAAAAGAGAAACTAAATCGCAACAGGAAAACTATTGGAAAGATGAGAGCTGTAGTCCGGGAACCAGAGGAAAGAAGGGTATGATGATTGTTGTTATCAAACTGACCAGGAACTTGACTAGTTAATAAATATATAATTAATTTTGTTAAGCATTTGCCAATTGAAGATGAAATTCCTTGTTTGTATTTACAAGGACAATAAAGTTATCCATCTATCTATTTATCTCAAAAGCATCTAAGCAGGACAAGGCTTTTAGATTAATTTTTTGAAACCTTTATGTTAAATTTTCATATCCTGTTTTATAGGCTGCAGCTTTAGTTCATCAGATGAGCACACTCTACAACGAGCGAAAACGACAAGAAAGGAATCGTATGGTAGCCAGGGTTGAACTACATAAAAAGAAGGTATGTTTGTACTATTATTAATAGATTTGATAATTAGGTTCCTGGAATATTATGGAAGTTTTTTGGGAAGGTTTTACCTAAATTCGCAGTTTTACTTTGATGATATTATTATTATTATTGTTATTATTATTATTATTTTAGATGTCTTTATTAGAGGAGAAGAAAGATGAAAGGCAGAAGAAAGCAAAACGGGAAATATACCGAATGCTAGGCAAGATGAAGAAGAAAGGAAACTGAAAGAGAATTGATACACAGTTAAACCTGTGAAATATCAGATGACATTTGTAAGATCATTATGGATCACTGTGATATGTATTACTAACCATTGATCTGCTTGTTGTCATGTGATCTAGATGCCACTGATCATGTGAGCTTTTAGAGAAATGCATCATGTGACATACAGTACAGGTTACTGCCCATGTGAGGTTTTTGGAAAAGTGCTGATTATGTGAAGACTGATGTAGGTCACATGACCTAGATACCACTTATGTGATTTATGAATTGTTGGTCATGTGATTGTTGTCAGATGTTGTTGGTCATGTGACCTAGATAACCCTTGAGTGATTGTTATGAATTGCTGATCATGTGATGGTTGTCAGATGCTGTTGGTCACGTGACCTAGATACCACTTATGTGATTTTTATGAATTTCTGATCATGGGATGGTTGTCAGATGCTATTGGTCATGTGACCTGAGGCTAGATACCACTTACGTGATTGTTATGAATTGCTGATCATGTGATGGTTGTCAGATGATGCTGGTCATTTGACCTAGATACCACTTATGTGATTGTTATGAATTGCTGATCATGTGATGGTAGTCGGATGATGCTGGTCATGTGACCTAGATACCACTTATAATGTGATTTTTATGAATTTCTGACCATATGATGGTTGTCAGATGCTGCTGGTCATGTGCCAAGATATAATACTATAAACATTTAATATTTTCTCAATTAAATATGTATAAAGCATTTGTTTACTGAACTGTTTATCTGTCAGTGTAATGGTAACCTATAGTGCCCTCAATTACTTTATCTAAAATGCCTTTTGGTCTTAGTATGCACTATGCTAAAGAAGGAAAAGGTCATGTTAACTTAACCCTGTGAGCTGCAGGTTACTTTGGGTGCCAATAAGTGTCAAGGGGGTGGGGGAAGGGGTGAACGAGCGGCTGCACTTTAAATACAGCTTGCGGTACATAAGTTCAGTTGCTCCAGTGTTGATCTATAGTAATGTACTAGTTGATCAAAAACTATTTGCTTGTTAGTGAATACGCTAAGCATTCTTGGATAAAATTTTGAGAGTGCTAGACAATATTTCTTGGCATTCAAATTAAGTGGTTTTAACTGAATGCTGAATTAAAAAGAAAAAGAATACAGTTGAACTTGCCTAAGTCGAATCCAAATGGTTTTGAAAAATTGTTGGACTTAATTGATTGCCATTTATAATTATTATTTAAAAGAATTTTAGACGCAATGTATTGGCTACAAAGTCAGTACAGTTTTATTGGAGCAGATCTCTTATTTGATTTCGTTTGTTCGTATATGCGGATACTGTATATTATGCATTTCCTTCATATTTTCATTTTTGTTCACTTTAATAAGAGAGAATAAAATATTTTTCTTGGAAGAGATTCTGCTTCATTTCGTTATAGCTAGGGTGTGGTGTATACAGTACTAATTTTTCATTTTATTCACTTGAACTTTCTACTTGTTTATTTCATTTTATTGTTCGGTACAAAACCTGGGGAGGTAGTTGATTGACTAGCGTCGATTGACAACATAGTTACCACAGAAACATGTTAAATCCGGGATTTGATTTCAGAGTGACTTACACTCCTGCTGAGTTTCAGCAAAATTAACCATTATTTTTATAAAGAATAGGCCACATACAGAGAACTGTAATGTTGAACATGAATTAGCATCCAGTATGATAACAGTCATGTAGGTCCTATAATTTGGCCTTTTTCACAAATAGGTAGTGATGACAAACATTGCGAATCAGCGGTGCGTAACCAACAGAAATAAGATAAGCTTTTGGGCTGATTTTCTGACATCATGTTATTTAAAAAATCATAACTCCATAATGGGGTGTCGTATCCAAAAAAGTTTTCCAGGAAAATGTTCTTAAAAGACTAGTCTACACAATTATATCATTGAAAAAAAATTGAAAAATGTTTTTGACCTCTGAAATCAAGAATGGAAAAAGAAAAGCCTATCTAAGTAGTGTATTAAAATAGGCCTATGCATTACAGTGCAGTAGCATAGTAGGCCTACTTTCGTGTTGTTGCTGTTCCAGGTACCGATAATCAGGGGCGGATCCAGAGATGTCCAAAAGGGGGGGGGGTGCCGAAATTTGGGCCGATCGTGACAACAATGTCCTAGGGGGTCCGGGGGCATGCCCCGCGAAATTTTTGTATTCTAGACGCCCGAAAATAACATTTGAGGCGTTGTGGGCTATCATTTTTTTTTCTTTTTCTTTCTTATTTTCTTTTTCCCCCTTTTTTTTTAATCTCCCAAAAAAAGGGGAGGGGGGCGGGCCGGCTTCCCCCTAAAATCTCCCCTTCCCCCCCCCTTCTAAAATCGCCTCTGATAATATACAGATTTCTCTTATTATAAAGTACAAGTTATGTTTTATAAAGAACAGGCCTGTAGCCAGATGTGGGAGCTGACGAGCATACTCAATGCGTAGATTTAATGCCAAAGACATCACCTAATTATGCCTTTTATTCATCTCGTACCCTTGTTGACTCATTCAGTGACACTAATATTAACTTTTAGTTCAGTGGAAATTTTTTGCCTATCTTGATTCTAGCTGAGCGAATCATGGTCAAAATATCACCTCGTCCTGTGTATACACCTTTGAATCATGATAATTATATTCAGAGCATATGCAAGGGTGTCAGCCTTAACTTTTATATGCTAAAAACACCATCATTCACAGCCTCTAGATTAAAAAATTTTCTGGGTGAGGATGCCCCCGAACTCCCCCCCCCCCCAGCAGCACATGCCATAGAGCATTTGCCTACGGTACACACTGGGTCGCGGAGGCACCCGTATAAAAAGGTCACCTTTGGCTAAAAAAGACATTTTAAATGTTACTTTCTTATATTAGCACAATGGTTCTCAACGGGGTTTTTTTTTGCATCGGGGACCCCTTGGGACATTTCGTAAGTCACAAACCCCCATGTCAACGATTACTCATTGTCCATATCCTAACAATAAGATTAGAGACAGAAGATGATTCGCCACGAACGTACAAACATTAAGGGTCCAACTAAATACCACACGGAACACACAGGACCACTCGGGAACACACGGGTGCAAAAATGATAAAAATATTACCACACGAGAGTAGAAAAGTACTAATAATCAATAGAAACCAACTTTTAGAACGGTAATTATCTAAATTTCGTTAAAAATCGATGTACTGTATCTTGATTTTGTTTTGTTTTCCCGTCGTGTTTCGTTATGTAAAATGCGTTGACATTGTGGATCAGTAACGCATTGACGTGTCAGCAGAAACGCATTCAACCATGACCTTCATGTCTGTGTTTCAAACCTGGGCTGTGTATATATATTGCCTTGGTTTGGCTCTGTATATATAGC